AACAGTAACAAGCGCATGTTAACAAGCCACAGTAAGTGGTAGCATGTAAAGTGAAGCTGCAGGTGTTCAAAGTGTCCCCAGGGAGGAGGTCTGAAGCTTCTGGAGACAAAAACAATTTTTCCAGGGTTACGGGCCTGACAGGTTAGACATTGACAGTAAACAGTTTTGTTTTATTATAGAAGTCTTTCAACTGATGTCTATTTATAATTTGAATAATCTTAAATGCTCTGATTCAGAAGCAGACTGGTGCCATGTTATAAGAACATCAGGATAGCAAACGTCTGGCAATGAGGGGCCATTTTTTTGTGGAACCAGAATGGACTTTAACTACATGTGCCACAATCTTACAAACACAACATAAAGAACATCTAGTATGAATTTTTATTTGACAATGATTCCTGGTAATTAGCTTATCAAATATACCCAATTAGTTTAGCAAATCCTTTGGAATGTTCCCAGTTAATGAGACTAAGAAGACCAAAACTCCAAAGAAAAGAAACAGACCCACAAAACCCTTTGTCCTTTTGACATAAAGAAAAGCAAATCTAATGCTGCACCTGCTTATTTTTGATTTGAAAATTCTTCATTCCAATTTTAGTCCTGACCACACATAACTTTCCTTTCCAAACATCCCCCCTTTCTTTCTTCTTTTCTTTTCTTTTCTTTTTTCTTTTCTTTCCTTTTCTTTCCTTTCCTTTTTTTTCTTCCTTCTTTCTTTCCTTCCTTCCTTCCTTCCTTTCTTTTTTTCTTTCTTTTTGAGAGAGAGAGAATGAGCAGGAGATAGGCAAAGAGAGAGAGAGAGAGAGAGAGAGAGAGAATCTCAAGAAGGCAGCACACCCAGCACAGAGCCAGTTGCCATGCCTGACATGGGGCTCAATCCCAAGACCGTGAGATCGTGACCTGGGCCAAAATCAAGAGTCAGATGCTTAACCAACTGAGCCACCCAGGCGCTCCCAATCATCCCATTTTTACAAATCTTTACAAGTTTCTCTTTTAAATTCAGAATTTGTCCTGAGTTTACCCTCTTTAGATGACCGGCCTTGCCTTAGGACAAAGTCCTTTTTTATACCTCAAAAAATACATTTCCCTTCCTCATACATTTTCTTACTAAAAACACACATTTTACTTTCCTTACATTCAGAGTTGTTTCCGTTATTATTTTCAGTGGTCTTAATTACATTTATTAAAATTCTGAACTCTTACAAACTTTCATTTTTATTTATTTATTTTTTTATTTATTTTTTATTTATTTTTTTTTAATTTTTTTTTCAACGTTTATTTATTTTTGGGACAGAGAGAGACAGAGCATGAACGGGGGAGGGGCAGAGAGAGAGGGAGACACAGAATCGGAAACAGGCTCCAGGCTCTGAGCCATCAGCCCAGAGCCTGACGCGGGGCTCGAACTCACGGACCGCGAGATCGTGACCCGGCTGAAGTCGGACGCTTAACCGACTGCGCCACCCAGGCGCCCCAAACTTTCATTTTTAATGAAAGCTAATATATAAGCAATTGTGAACTGTTAACCAGCATTCTTAGATTGGCAAATTAATGTACACATTTCAAAAGTTCTAGAAATGTGTATTTCTTCATAAAACAGTCTTCCAGTAAAGCACAAAATACATTTACGAATAGGCCCATGTATATTTTCAGTTTCTCTGCAATAAGGAAACCAAAAGTTGGTAAACCTATGTTCATTAACTAATAATTTAGCATTTTCTCTTACTTGGAAATGATCTAGATAAGATCTAGATATTTAATGAATGTAATTTACTTTTACACTTGAGCCAACACTGTAAAATTTGAAGGATTTAGTTTACCAAAAAGATTTGGGAAACTATTTAAAAATATATTTAACATTTTTCATTTTTAAAATGAAATACATATTTTTTAAATATCTATTCAATTTACTGGTTCTTAGCACTTTTGCTGAAATTACCCATAAAAACTTTATGAGACAACGAAGTCTGTCATTCTCTCAACCTATTTTCTTTAATATTTTGTAAGAGATCAACTCTACTTATGTAAACCAAGGCACATGAAATAATTTAATTTTAGCGCTGCTAATTCTGAAGACATGTCTATTTTACTTAAACCAACAACTGGATATTTGCCCAGATCATATGAAGTTCAAACGCATTTGGGTTAGTTTTTATCTTTCTGAGACACCATCCGGAGAGGAAAAGATCTCACATTGATGACGTATATTTATGGACACACAGATCACTGCAAAGACCTTAGAGTCACTGGCGTTTATGGAGAAAATGTTAAGATTTGTATTTGTCCCTGGAATTTTTTGTAATGTTTATTTTTTTTATTTGGAGAGAGAGCAGAGAAGGCGCAGAGAGAGAGGGGGAGACTGAGAATCCCATACAGGGTCCGTGCAGTCAGCACGGAGCCGGATGCAGAGTTCGATCCCAAGAACCATGACATGACCTGAGCCAAAATCAAGAGTCTGACACTTAACTGACTGAATCACCCAGGTGCCTCCCTGGAATTACGAAGGACACTGAGCCAGGGTTTAGGCACAAGAACCCTTTAGCAGTTTGTATTTTTTTTTAAGGCCTCTTTCCCTTAGTTTCCCTCAGTCCCAAGAATTTGTGGGCTGTGTTTACTTTTTTTTTTTTTTAATTTTTTTTTCAATGTTTATTTATATTTGGGACAGAGAGAGACAGAGCATGAACGGGGGAGGGGCAGAGAGAGAGGGAGACACAGAATCGGAAACAGGCTCCAGGCTCTGAGCCAACAGCCCAGAGCCTGACGCGGGGCTCGAACTCACGGAGCGCGAGATCGTGACCTGGCTGAAGTCGGACGCTTAACCGACTGCGCCACCCAGGCGCCCCAGTGGGCTATGTTTACTTTTCAAAGATGCGACAAGATAGATCACTTTGAGGACAGAGGAAGAATGCAGGTTCCTCCAAGAAGGACTTTGCTTTCCTAAAATCAATCATCTATAAGCCTTTTTCTGGAACTAGGAGAAGTTTGGGGGTGGGTGAAGGGACAGGGGAGCTCTGAATTCAGCTGCGTTTCTAGTTCTGTTCACATTTGTCAGGACAGCTGCTCTCAATGTCTCAAAACTTGGATTTTCGTGAAATGACAACATAGTTTGATCCAACCTATCCAAGCACATGAGCCTCAATTTGCTTCCTTCCCTCTGGGTGCACAGTTTTAAGTATTTCTGGCAGACGGAATAACCCCCCTTGGGTGTAAGATGAATATTTTCTAAGGATATTACCCTCCCCAGATCCAGGATCACCGACAATGACAGCCAGAGGAAGGGAACCCACAGCCGCACATCCCAGGCAGGCAGAGAGCTAAGAGCAGTGACGCAGGATGACGCCAGCAAGGAGGCAACGGCTGTCTCTGGGAGAGGAAGGATCCATAAGCAATGGGTGTGGATTTGGAAAGGGTGGGACAACAGGAAATTTTATTATCCTCTCCGGACCAGGCACGTGGGCAGAGATTCAGAAGGAGAACTGATTCTGCTAAGACTTCCCACCCTTTCCTGGTTCTGCCAGTTTTCCCAGGACCCTTCAGCAGACCTTGGTATTTATCAGAATTTCCACTTGGCTCTTTAAGGGAATTAATGTAACAGTGTGTCAGAAAGTCACCCAGTTTCTCAACTCTGGGAGGGCCTCATTTGGGGACCCTCCTCTGAAGGTAGATACGGGGGTGTCCGTAAGGCCATTAATATGACTGAGTGGTCTTTTCGGAGAGGAAAGCCAATTCACGCTCGAATGACCGCTCAAAGGAGCAAAGAGTAGAGGAGGAATTAGGTCAGTCTGACAGCTTTTTGCTTTAGTACCTCTTCTGTCTTTAATTTCTCCTTAGCCTTTTCCAAAGAATGTTTCATTGAAACCACCTTGGAATTTTAAATCTTTTAGAGGCTTCTGCTTGCTCATTAACAGAAGTGTTCTATTTTATTTAATTGGAGAAATTTTGCTTTTAAATGTAGTTCTTACATGATCTTATCCCTAATTGGAAAATTCCCCGCTATTGTATTTCTAGACTGTAATTGCCCTGAGGGCTGGCAGCAGATCCATAGGACCCTAGCCTTGAATGGAGTTAACCCACACTTCAGTCCGGCCATATGTCTGCACAAGTGAGGTGTAGCTACATTTCTGTCTGGCTTTGTTTTGGGGTCTCCAACTTATGGTTATCAAGCTAGTTCCTAGTTCCTCAGGACACAAGGCAAGCTTAGTAAGATTTTGCCATTTTTGCTAGACATCTGTAACTTCTGGGACTACAGTTTTTAGACATAAAATAAGCGGGTGTACAGGAAGGTGCTTGCACTTGACCCTTTAGCATGTAAGGATCCCAATAGCTAAGACTTTGGGCTTCTCAGAGCAGAACTAATACCCAAAAGTGATGTGTCCTGGAATTGGGGGTTCCATGTGTTTTAAAGTATAGCTCTTTGCACAGAAATTTTCTTGAGGTGGATGGGTGAACTGGTGCCAGACCAATCTATTCCCTGACCAAGTTATACTATCAAGGGCATGTTCTTGAGGTGGTGAGCATTCTAATAGTCTTTAATTGCCTCACAGTCTTTTTTTGTCTAACAGTCCTTATTGTGCCCATCAATTTTGTGGGTTTTTCAGTCTCTGATCCCTGTTAGCAGTAGCCTTTATCTATAAGAAGCAAGAAAAATAATTATGTGTACCTTAGCGTATGCACAGTAACCAAGAGATGTCACTGGCTTCTGGCCACAAGAAGACTCTTTGTACACCATCAATAATTCTCCTGGAAACTTGCGGAAGTTTCCATCCAAGAAACTGTGGTCAGAAAGTTTGGGGCCTTGGCTCTGGACAGATCCTACCTGCCAGTTCACTTGGGCTCTGGGCAAACATGCCAGTTCAAGTGGGGTCCAGACAAAAAGGCCAGCTCAACTGGGCTCTGACAGCAACCCTCTGCCAGCCCAAGCTGACCCACATTGTAAAGGAAAGCCAATTAGATCAGGAGTCTGAATGCAAAGAGATTGAATCTCAGAACCAACAGGAACTCACCTACAGCCCTTGAAAATGATGAGGAGGACAGTGAACTCAAGGGGCTCACAGTTACCTCCCCTGGCTGTCTCCTTGTCTCTGATCGCCCCTGGAAGTCCATTTCAGATCCCATCACCGACACCAAATCTGTTAAATAACAAAAATTCAACCAAGTAAATGTTAAAGAGCTAATGGCTGTATTAATCAATTTATGAATCAGGCAGCATCTGATCTAGCAAGTAGAGGGGAGCTCCAAAGGACCACAGGGAATAAAAGATTTTAACAATAGCGCAGGGAGTGCAGAAAAGGAAAATATTAGCAAGGAATCCATTTTTCTAGGCAATGTAACTCTCCTAAGGGGGAAAGGAGTCAACTGGGAACCTTCATAGTGCTGACCAGGAAATTCCCATATTCACTGATTAAATGTTACTGCTCTGGGGGTTGAGATTGCACTTGGGTTAGGTATGAAGTCTTGTTTTAGTGATTTGGGGCCTTAGGTTAAGTGTTACCATTTGGGGTCTGTGGTTTTCTTTTCAACAGACCCAAGAAGATGAAGACTGACTTCAGAAATTGAGACTTGTATACAGAAAGCTCTTCACATGTCCTGTTA